TCCATCCATGCAGGACGTTTCCTCCAGCTGCAAGGCTGCTTGTTGGGTCAATATCTAGATTTTTGCCTTGTTCTGGAGTTGCTGGCAGGATTTCTCTTCCTTGCGCCAGGGGAGGTTCAGATTGGAGATTAGGAGAAATGTTTCCACGGAAAGGGTTCTTAAGCCTTGGACTGGGCTGCCCAGGGCAGTGGTTGAGGCCCCATCCCTGGAGATATTGAAAAGCCGGGTTGACCTAGTGCTTGGAGACATGGTTTAGTGATGGTTTTGATCAGAGTTCAGTTGATGGTTGGGCTGGATGATCTGAAAGGTCCCTTCCAACCTGGACAATTCTATTGTTCTATGATTCTAAATTGTTCAGCAGCCATAAAAGGAGATGGTAAAGGAAGGTAACTATTTGTGCGGTACTAAATGAGTTTCATGCTTCTGCAGCTTTAATTCTGCTGTCAATAGCCGGGTTAAAGTCTAGGTACCAGACATCCCTAGAGCAGTCCTTCCATGCACAATAGGCCTTGTGGTGTAAAAGATTATATTGTTGTCACAGGACTCCAGTCCCAACTCTGGGAATAGTGTGCCACAACTATTTTAAGTGTAAAAAAAAAATACCACTGGAAATGGGCTGTGGGCTGTGGTGGTGGTGGCGAACACAGGAGGAACAAACCCCCTTGTTTTGGAAAGAGCACCGATAATTGTGTGTGGATCACTGGCAGTTGCTCAATATAAAAACTCTGCATAACTTATTTGTGCATTTTTTTTGCATCTTTTCTCAAGTCACAGGTGACAGGACGAGAGGAAATGGCCTCAAGTTGCGCCAGGGGAGGTTCAGGCTGGATATTAGGAAAAATTTTTTCACTGAAAGGGTTCTCAGGCATTGGAATGGGCTGCCCAGGGAGGTGGTTGAGGCACCATCCCTGGAGGTGTTCAAAAGACGGGTTGATGTGGTGCTGGGAGATATGGTTTAGTGATGATGCTCCTTGTTTGTTGTGTGGGTGTCTATTTTTGTCAGTCAGGTTGACGGTTGGACAAGATGATCTTTAAGGTCCCTTCCGACCTAGAAGATTCTGTGATTCTGTTATCCTCTTCTTGGAGGGGTGTGAAATGCCTTAATGGACATTCAGTTGGTTCACAACTATGCTAGCCTATATGATGCTGACACAGGCAAGGTTAAGCAGTCAGGCTTTAAGGAAAAGGAATAAGAGTAAAGGAGAAGAGGCAAGATATGTTAGACAGGAGAGTTGTGAAGGGATTTTTCAGCATTAGGGCAACTTGAAGCCAAATAATAAAGTGGGCATGTATTTGCCGCTAGGGGTGTTGCATTATCCTTCATTTATTAAGTGCTTTACATGCCATTAAAAGTTCTTTCAAAGCTATTATTCTGAAGTACCTGATTTCTCTGGGATGTGCTTCTTGCCCTCAGGAATAAACTAGGATAAGCACAAGTTCATCACCGGTATTGCTATGTCACTTGGGAGATAACGCTTTTAAAGGCAAGCAAACACCCTGAAATAATCACCCTGACGGAAACTGCAGCTTTGGTACCTCCACCAAACCACACCTACGCCACAAACTTTTGCCCTCAGAGCTGTAATAGCTGTAGACATCATTTATGGCTGGTGTATATGATTGTTGACTTAACCCCCTCGGAAAAACATGTTCTTCCGTGTGCTGTGTGCAACCTCAAAGTGAGGTTTTCCCATCACTGAAAAAGGAGCAGAGGTAAAAAGCACAATTTCTAGCATCCGCCTTGTGCCGAGGCCCGTCCCTTCCGTGCAGTGGGTGCACCTCTAAAGAATCATAGAATCATTTGGGTTGGAAGGGACCTTTACAGGTCATCTAGTCCAACCCCCCCCCTGCAACGAATAGTGACATCTTCAACTAGATCAAGTTCCTCAGAGCCCCGTCCAACCTGACCTTGAATGTTTCCAGGTATGGAGCATCTCCCCCTTCTCTGGGCAACCTGTTCCAGTGTTTCAGCACCCCCATCATAAAAAATTTCTTCTTTATATCTAGTCTAAATCTTCCTTCTTTTGGTTTAAAAGACATCTTACCCCTTGTCCTATGGCAATAGGCCCTGCTAAAAAGTTTGTCCCCATCTTTCCTGTAACCCCTCTTTAAGTACTGGAAGGCTGCTATAAGTTGCCCCCAGAGCCTTGTCTTCTCCAGGCTGAACAAGCTCACCTCTCTCAGCCTGTCCTCACAGGAGTGGAGCTCCATCCCTCTGATCATTTTTGTGGCCCTCCACCACTCCAAGAGGTCCATGTCCTTCCTGTGTTGAGGACTCCAGGGGTAGACACAGGTGGGGTCTCACCAGAGCTGAGTAGAGGGGCAGAATCACCTTCCTCGACCTGCTGGCCACGCTGCTTTTGATGCAGCCCAGCTATTACAGCTCTGAGGGCAAAAAGTGTGTGGTGTAGGTGTGGTTTCATGGAGGTATCCAAGCTGCAGCTTCTATCAGGGGAATTATTTCAGGATGCTTGCTTAACTTTAAAACTTATGGCTCGTCACGAGCTCTGATGCCTGGGTTCACGTGTGGAGTGACAAGGAAACGGAGGGATCTGACACCCTCTCATCCAAAAGAGAAGTGTTTCCTTGGAAATCTACCCACACCGACGCCTCTACCCTACGGTTGCAACAGAAGGGGTGTAGAAATGGGGTAGAAAGGACTTTATACATCATTTTATGCTGCCTCGCCGGGCTTTAGGAGCACCTCCTCCTAGTGCTCCTCCTCCTTCTGTGCCGAAGCAGCCCATTATCAGCCGGACACCCAACTGCTCACCTCTTGGCTTGTCTCCCCACGCAGACATCAGCCCTGTCTGGTTTCTGTTCCTTCTCCACTCCTTTGGAATCAGGAAATGCAATAATTTGCTGACTCGGGGCAGGGAGGTAGCTTTCGGGGGTGTTTTCCTCTGCAGGAGATGGGAACGTCCTGCTGCAGGCTGGTGGACGGCTTCCAAGCTGCCTTCTTTCAGTTTTACAGCTCAGTTTAGAAAATAAAACCACACCAGTTTCATTTTCTCTCCGGCGACTGGTTTCACAAACACTGACGTGCCTTGCAAAGACGTAGCAAAGGCCATTTGTTGTGCCAGCATTTAGGTGAGAGTACCTTCCCCAGCCAAAAATCGGTGGTTTTCACTTTCTGTGCCAGAATTGAGGTGGGCTGGTCCTTGGTTTCTCTGCCCCGAAGTGAAACACCCCAAAATAACAGTGATGGGGAGTTTGGAATTACGCGAGGCCCCACCTCAACGGCTGTGTCCAGTTTTGGGCCCCTTCCCACAAAAAAAAGACCTTGAGGGGCTGGAGCAGGTCCAGAGAAGGGCAAGGGAGCTGGTGAGGGGTCTGGAGCACAAGTCTTGTGAGGAGAGGCTGAGGGAGCTGGGGGTGTTGAGCCTGGAGAAAAGGAGGCTGAGGGGAGACCTTCTGGCTCTCTCCAACTCCCTGAAAGGAGGCTGTAGCCAGGGGGGGTCGGTCTCTTCTCCCAAGTCCCAGGCCATGGGACAAGAGGAAATGGCCTCAAGTTGCCCCAGGGGAGGTTCAGATTGGAGATTAGGAGAAATGTTTCCATGGAAAGGGTTATTGCACATTGGCCTGGGCTGCCCAGGGCAGTGGTTGAGGCCCCATCCCTGGAGGGATTTAACAGCCGGGTTGACCTAGTGCTTAGAGACATGGTTTAGTGATGGTTTTGATCAGAGTGAGGTTGATGGTTGGACTGGATGATCTGAAAGGTCCCTTCCAACCTGGACAATTCTGTGATTCTATGAAATGCGAGACACTTTCGTCCCCATCAGCCACCCATTTCTCCCAACATTTATATTCCTTTTGCCTTAATAAGAACCGCAAAATCCCACCGGTGGACTTTGATTTCCTTAGGTCACTTAGGGAACAACATTACACGTGCAGTTTTTCCCACCTCGTATCAATGTGGTTCCAAAACATGAACTAGGGCTGTACTTTTGATTTTTTTTCTCCCCCCCCCCCCCCCCCCGTTGTTTTGATGCGCTCCGTTTGGAGCGAAGTCATAAAACCACCCACGCTGAGGTCAGCCCCACTTTGTTTCTCTCGCCCCTGAACAGGGAGCAGGATAATTGAGGTGAGATCTTGCGCGGCAGGGATTCAGGTTTCTACAAGAAGGATGTGCAGATGGTAGGACTTGATGCCAGAGGAAAAAAAAAAAATCAAAACACAACATAAAAAATGTGGTTCACTGAAAAGTGAATTATTGAACGATGTCTCATAAAGTATTAATCATCGTTGGGTGATTGATCTGGTTTTCCTGGCTGGAAGTGATGAATTAGGAGCCTGGAGCATCTCTCTTAGGAGAAAGGCTGAGGGACTTGGGTCTTTTGAGTCTGGAGAAGAGAAGGCTGAGGGGGGATCTGATCAACACCTATAAATACTTCAAGGGTGGGTGTCAGGAGGATGGGGCCAGTCTTTTTTCAGTGGTGCCCAGGGACAGGACAAGAGGAAATGGGCACAAACTTGAACATAAGAAGTTCCATCTAAACATGAGGAGGACCTTCTTCACTGTGAGGCTGCCAGAGCCCTGGCAGCGGCTGACGAGAGAGGTGGTGGAATCTCCTTCTCTGGAGACATTCAAACCCCACCTGGACACGTTCCTGTGGGACCTGCTCTGGGTGGACCTGCATTGGCAGGGGGTTGGAGGAGATGATCTCCAGAGGTCCCTTCCAACCCCATAGTGCTCTGTGACTCTGTGAACGTTAGAGCAGGAGAAACCTTCGCTTTCACCAGGGAGGACCCGAAGCAGCAGCTCCTTTCCTCTGAGAAGAAAGGGGTTGTCCTGGGAATCCACGGGCGACAATAGGGTGACCATTCTAGGATTCTGTGACCGAGGTGGGAACGAACGCCGCTTTTCCACGTACGCCGAAGACACTGCTACGTCGTTTATTTTCCTTTTTTGTTAACAAAAATTGCATTTACGGCCCATTTTGCGTGAGGAGGAGGCGGTTTCTGGGTGTGCTGCGGGGCGGGCCGGGGGCGGGGCCAGGGGGCGCCCATGTTTAGGGGCGGTGGCCGCGGCACCTCCCGGGGGCCCCGGCGCGGAGGCGGCGGCGGGCAGGTAGGGGCAGCGCCGATCACCCCCTGGTGCGGGGGTGCGGCGGGACGTGGGGGGGCATCACCGGCCGCCCTCGTGCCTCTTGCGGCCGCGCCGTGCAGGGAGATACGCGCCCTGCGCGGCTGTGGCTGCGTGCGCGCGCTGCGCGGGGCTCCGTGCGCTGCGCGGTTCTTCGTCCTCTGCGCGGTTCTTCCAGCGCTGCGCTGCTCCGTGCACTGCGCGGGGCTTCCTGCGCTGCGCGGTTCTTCTTCCCGCATCGCGCGGCTCCGTGCGCTGCGCGGTTCTGCCTTTGCTGCGCGGTTCTTCCCGCGCTGCGCGGCTCCGTGCGCCGCGCGGTTTCTTCGTGCGGTGCGCTGCGCTGCTCCGCTCCCCGCGCTGTGCCGTCCTTCCCAGCGCTGTGCGGTTCTTCCCGCATCGCGCGGCTCCGCTGCGCCGTCTTTCCTCCGCTGCGCGGTTCTCCGCGCATGTCGGGGGCTTCCCCCCCACCACCACCACCCCCCTGCAGCGCAGCC